TGACATGGAAGAGGATGAGGTGAGGGCGATGCCCCAGGTCGAGGTGGATCTGGGGATTCTCTTCCTGTTACTCTGCTTCCCCTCCCAGGGCTATCTTGGGCAGAGTTGGGGGTCAGCCCAGGAAAGGAGTGCTGTATCCCCTGATGGGTTTTCCAGATTTAGCAAATCAAAATTTAGGCCTTGCAGTTAAACATGAATTTCGGATAAATAATGAATTTCTTAGTTTAAATATGTCCCAAATATTACATGAGATACATTTATACTAAATTTTTAAAGAATTAACCAAGCATTCTGTATTATCTGGCAACCCTCACCCTGAGAATGGCAGTGGGATAGGCATCCAGGGCTGGGACTTGGAGCCCACAGCCCTGGATTCGGCTGAGCTCTGACCAAAAGGCGAGGCCCTGGGAGTCTCGCATTTCCATGTGCAGGAGCAAGTCTGGGATCAAGCCTGGCCCAAGGATTGCACGGGGGGCTGGGAAGGCCCGCTCACCCCAGAGAGATTTTGATAGATGTGATTAGGACGGAGGAACCTGGGCACTGTGGCCTCTGTCCCAAAGGATGCTGGCAGCCTGGTGCAACTTGAAGCTTCCTTTCTTTACAGTAAGATACTTCCATCACGGGAGATACAGATGCACAAAAGACAATTAACGCTGCTTGGAGATTATCCCAAAATGACACTATAATTTCCTGTCTGTACGTCTCTTTATAAGAGTCATACACTACAATTTTTTGCTTCCTTTTAAGAGCTGTTCTCAATGTTACCTGTTAAATCATATATAGAACAGAAAATGAAAATCCTGAAGCCCTGAGAATCACCAATCCTTGGGCATATACTTAGTGTTCTATAAAATAGGTCTGCATATGCCATGATAGAATTTGTTCTCCTCCCACTGAATATCCCATTTCTCTGCATGGGAGAATACTTTTTTGACTAGTGGGTCAAAAATATCCTGGAGCTAGTGGGATCTTAGTTCTCTGACCAGGGATTGAACCCGTGTCCCTTGCAGTGGAAATGCACTCCTAACCACTGGACTGCCAGGGAATTCCCAGGAGAATACAGTTTTGTATTCTCCCATGAATGTTAACAGCTATGTAGAATTCCAGTCTGGTCGAGTTGTAACTTAACCAGTGCCCTATGGCAGAAACTACCCATGGGTTCCAATCTGCCCCTGTTCTAAACCAGGGTTGCAGTGAGGAAACGCCCATGGGTAAGGGAAAATCAGGAGAATTTTCTCTCCCTCTAAGGACCTATTATGGGCTGGGGCTGTGACCGTCACAGGCTGACCTGGCTTCTCCCTGCAGTGCCCAGTTGGATAAATGAGGCATAATGTAGTTCAACACAGGTGGTTGTGTTGGGGGGCATGGGAGCCCAAGAGGAGCCCTCTCACCTGGGGCTGGGGGCCTGGGTTCTTCCTTAGGTATGTATCATCTGCTGGATGAGCATCTGGAGTTGGAAGAGACCCTTTAAGTCTGGCCAGAAATCCTGTTTCTACAACACCTCCTACAGGTGAGTACTTCCTGTTTCAAGCTGCGGGAACCTGGGCAAACTCCTTTCCCATTTCTCTGAAAGTGTTGACCGCCATAATGCACAGGCCTTGGGTTCTGGAATCTGGGTAATTGGGAGATGAAAGACCTCAGCTAGCTCCGTACCTGGATGCTTCTCCCTCATCATGGGAAATCCTTATCATGGAAATATAGGTGGCCTCTCCTTGGTACAGGAAAACCAGGACAAGGACTGAGAGGACTGGTCCCACCACCATCCAGGTTCACAGATAATCGTTTGTGGTCCTGTCCCCTCTGCCCTGTCCCATCTCCAGCTTCCCTGCCTGCTCCTGGCTCTTTTTTTTACCTTGATGAGTAACTGTGGGCTCAGGGTCACTTCCAGCTGCCCCGCACGGCCTGCCCCACACCACTGGGCAGCCCTGAGGTGCTTCCCGGCCCCGTCCTTCCCAGCCTCCTGTAAGACGCTGAAGGACTTGCTGGCAGTGGTTCTGGCCGTCAGCTGCGTCACTCTGCTGTTGATCCTGATCCTGCTGTCCCTGAGGAAGGTGTTGGAGGCTTTCCAGCTGAGCTGCCCACTAGGCTGGCTGGGGAACACACTAAGGCAGGCCTGGACCAGGCCAGACACCGAGGAGAGGCAGCCGGTGGCCAGGGTAATGGAGAGACTGTCTTTGGAGGAGGAGACTGATGGAGTGTCCCAGACAACTGCTGAGGAAATCAGGGAGTCAGGGGGCCCTTCAGAAGACCACTAAATCACCCTTTATATACACACAATAAAGCTTTCTACTTCTCTAGTGCTCTGGTCTTAACTCCCTCTGGTACTTGTTTGCGTTTGTACCATGTGCCGGGGGGAAAAGCTGACCTTAACTGTGTGGATGTGAAAGTGGATTCTCTGGAGAGGCTGCAGCAGTGCTGGGTTCCAGGGGAAGAGGATGGGGTCTGGTGCCTAATTAGCATCAGGACAGAAGGTTGCCCTGGCCTGGGGTCTACAAGGTTAACTGGCTCAGACTTTTGGCCTCAGCTGCCTAATTTGAACCCCTCTTTTAAGGGAAACAGGCTGTGGTCACCATCTTTGCCTCCCAAGGGCAGCTGAGGTCTTTCCTTCCCTGTCTCTTCCCTGGCATTTCTGGGCTTTGGGAACTGGGACTTTACTTCCCTTCACACACAGTGGGGAGCCTGCAGGCCTTGGTCTTCCTGCCACTATACTGGTTGCTGACTGCTGCTGGAATGAGGGGGCCCATTAGCCAAGGCTAAGTGGGGTCTCTTTCCCTCCCCAGCCACCCCCTGGACACTCAGAACTGGAGCAAAGCATCCTGCCCCTGGGTGAGACTGGAGACCTGGAGGCTGGGAGCTGGAGGGCTGCTTCCCACCGACTGTGGCTACAGAGTAGGAGTGGGTTTGCTGTGGCTGGGCATCCACAGATACCAAGGGGCACTTTTTGGTTCTTGGCTCCAGCCCTAGCCTAAGCTCTCTGTGCTGCCCCTGCCTCCTGGTAGCAAGTTCTCCCTCTGTTCAAAATGGGGTCTATAAACTGCAGTAGAGGAGCTTAGACAAATGCAGATAATCCAACAGCACTGCTCACAGCTGCCTCAGCCTCAAGGGTGCAAAGGGTCCACCCCTTCATCCTCTGCCCCTGCTGCAGCCTGGGGGTGGGGTCTTTACCTCAGAGGGCAAGGGAGAGACCCCCTGTCCCTCCACGCTGTATCCCCGATGCTGAGCCATCCTCCCCCCATGACATCCTTGCCCCAACTGCAGGTGCTGCCACCATCTTCCAAGAGTATGAACCCATCCTCCTCTTCTCTGCCTCCCCGCGTCCCTCTCCTCTCTCTCATTCCTTATTTGAAGGGTGGCCAGATAAAATATAGGACACTCAGTTAAATTTTAGTTTCAGATAAACAATACATTTTAAGTATGTCCCAAGTATTGCCTTTTTTCTTCTTCTAAATCTGACAACCTTTCTTCTTTTCCTCCTTCCTATCCACACCCCCACCCCAGCCCCCAGCTCAGAGAGTCGGCAGTCTTGTCCTGTTCTGGCAAGTTGCTGCAGTAACGTGAATTAGTGGTGGGAGGAGGGTGCCTTTAGCTCCAGTCCTATTTCTGCCACCCATGGGCTGAAGGAAACAAGGCCAGTGCATTTTGTGAGCTGTTTTTCATCTATAAAATGTGTCCATAAGTGCAGATGGAAAGTACTAGCTGCTGTTGAACATTAGCTTGATTAGTCTAAGAGTCAGGCCTCCTGTTCTGCCCATGGGTAAGCTCACCGCAGTGGGCTCGGCCCTCAGCTCATTCCCAAGGAACTTCAAGTCCTTTGGTTCCCAACCATCCACAGTCTCTGTGTAATTCGACTCCTCGTGTCAAGAGATGTGTCAGGACCTGGGGCTCAAGCCAGCAGCTCCATGTCCCTGAGGCCATGTCCCCGGAGCGAGAACGTCCTGGGGCCCTGGTGTCTCCTCTAGTCACCCAGGGTCTTGGTGGATGGCAAGAGGCCATGCTTCTCAGAGACCATATGAACAGTGGACCAGATGCTGGGCTTTGAAGCACAAGCCCTGCCCCCTCTGCTGTGAGTTTCCTTGGAGGAGCTGCTTAATTAGCATTGTGGGTCTCCATTGTTCCAGCTGCCCAATGGGCATAACACCTCCTCTGCCCACAAACTGAGACTGGAGAGGGTGGCATCCAAGACACTTCCACTGGACGATCTAGGACAAACAAGTCATTCCTTCTCTCCTCTGTAAAAGTAGGGTCTTAGGAAGCAGTATTATAGGGCAATTAAGAGCAATGTCTTTGGAGTGAAAAAAAAAAACAGGTCTTGGATCTGCCACTTAAGAGGGCATGGGTTCGATCCCTGGTCAGGGAACTAAGATCCTGCAAGCTGTGTGGCACAGCCAAAAAAAAAGAAAAAGAAAAAAAAAGAGTTGTATGATGTTGGGTGAGTGACTTCACCTCTGAGCCTTGGTTTCCTTATGCATACGTGACTGTGATAGGTGGCCTCAGGGTAGGTGTGTGAAATGGGCTGAACTCATAAAGCACTTGGCACTGTGTTTGGTACACAGAGAGCACTCAACGAATGACAGCTGTGTTGTTTTTTTTTTTATTATCGCCAGGCAGCAGCTAGAGCCAGATGTGACTTCCTTTGCTTCTAGGAAAGTGCCTTTAATTGCTTAAAACATAAGCTGTGAGTTGCAAGGGAAGGCGGTGAGGGTGGCAGAGATGGGCTGGGGAAGCTGTGTGCTGAGTCAGACAAAGCCTTCTCAAGGCAGCTCCTACCTACCCGAGGGGGCAGCCACTGCCATAGGTCTAGGGGCTGGGTCACCTGGGTCTCCAAGAGAGTCCATCCCCTCCAGGGCTCTGTCCCTGTCCAAGGTGCTGAAATCTCCCCTAGTACTTATTTGCACACCCATGAATCACTTGCTCCCTACCTCCATTCAACTTCACAAGTATATACTGAGCATATACTATATAAGGAGTAGCAGTAAAAAGAATTTAGATACATATCCAACCCAGGTTGCTGATAACTCATGGAGAAAAAATTCATGCACACAAATGCCTCAGAAGTGAGGGCAAAGGCTAGGAGACTCGTTTTCCTACTTTTTGGGTTTCAGGGACATCCACTTGTTCTTACCCTTGTTTCTTCCTTTTCTGCAACCTCGGCATTCTCCAAAGCTGTGCCTCGCGTACCTTTCCTGATCTGACCACAGCATATGCATTTTTCCCAAGGCAGCCGTTTCTTTACTTACTAGTGTCACAGAGTCAAGAGGACTACTGAGCAATTTCTGGGGGAAGAGTAGGATATATAGGCCGAAAGCAGTCAGGGGTCTCTTGGAAGTGAGGGAGCTGCCCAGACAGGGGTGAGCTCCTTGTCTTATTTCTGCATGCCCTCATCCAGAAGCAGCACATACACTGTGAAGCTGACCTTCTTGGTGTGGACAAAGCTATAGGTATTGTCAAAGCACAGGACATCTGGGGGGATAGATGGACAGACGGGTAGTTTGGCCTGGCTTCACACACTCCCTGTGCCCTGGCCATGGGGGAGAACAGGCTGTGTTCCCAACTGTTGTGTTTGCCAAGCTGGTCCAAGTTCCCCCGACTGCTGTTTCCTTCCCCATGGGAACTGCCATTCCTGAGCAGGGCCTGTAAACAGAAATTGACCTCCTCCTGGCATGTGCCCAGCCTGGCTTTAGTTGCACCAACTGGCAATGAGAACAATAGCCACTGCCTCCCATTGTGTCCACACCTGGACAGTCACATGATAGGTATGCAAGGGGGGCATTTCAGAACATCAGAGGCCTCCCAGGCCCCTTGATGAAGTGGGGTGCAGGGCGAGGCCTGTGCATGCTTTCTGCCTCATTACAGGCACCCGAGAGGTAGGAGTTGTAGCCTCTGCTTCACAGGTGAGCAAACCTGCGTTCAGTAAGACTTTTGCTCAGGGTTATGCAGCTACCACGAGGCTGAAGTGGGACCCTGGTACCACACTCAGCTGTGTGCCTCTGGACAAGCTGATTTACCTCTCAGAGGCCCAGTTTCCTCCTGGGGAATGTCACTGCCCTATTGTCCCTTGCCTGTGTCCTGTGGCCTGAATGCTCTCAGCCCCTTCTGGCACACGATAGGTGCTCTCAAGTGTGAACCGAAAGAGTGACTGTATGGATGAATGGCACTGACCTAGGGTGTATGTTCCTTGGTGGGGGAGTGGTCACTATCCCTCTATTTCTTCCTATAAACCATGGCACAGGTGGCTTCAACCTTCCAGGGCTGGGGCCCAGCCAGGGCAGACTTACAGACGCCAGCTTCCGTGCAGGTGAGTCTCCCATCCTCAGGCATCAGGTGGGCGCTGTAGCGCTGGTTGAGCTGCACCTCCGTCATCAACCCAGCCCACTGCCACTCCCCCATCATGGTCTTCAGGAAAACCCCGAAGCCAATGTCTTCACTGTCAGATGAGAACTGCCACCTGTATTGGGGGAAGGAGGGGAACAGGTCACTGCTCAGGCTGAAGGGTCCCTGAGGGGCTAGGGCCCAGCCAGGGGTGGGTTGGTGGCCTGTTCCTTACCTGAGAACACAGCCTGGGAACAGAATCTCATACTCCACCTGGTGCGAGGAGCTGCAGCTGATCTGCACCAAGTGCTCGTACTGAGTCTTCACCTGGTCCTGCACATACATGGACTTGGGGATCTCCCCACCATAGCTGATTTGCAGACACAGAGCAAGATGGGCTTGCTCCCCACCTCTTGCATTGTTCATGCTGTTTCTCCTGCCTGAGATATTTCCCCATCTCCTGGAAGTATCCTGCTCATCCTGTCCTCCCCTACCCATCCCCCCCACCCTGGGAAGCCTCCTGTGTCCCTCCATCCTCAATCAGGGCCTCTTCTGGGAACTTCCCCTCCCAGCTCATCCCTCTGGGTCACAATTTCCCCATTTCTTGTTTGCCTGCACAGTTGCTGAGGGCTCTGTCAGGGCAGGGCTGGGACTAACTCAATACCTGGCTCACAGGGGTTTCTCCATAGACATTTGTGGAATGAATGAGAGGGTGAGAAAGGAACCGAGCTCTACTCCTCTACCCTCCCCTGTTCTGGGGCTCTTCATACTTCAGTTAAATATTTGGGGTTCCCATCTGGGTCGGTCAGGGTCCCCCCAAACTGGGCAGGCAGTTCTTCAGGACTGATGAGTTTTAGCAAACCTTCCTTCCAGCTGTCTGTGGGGAGAGGAGTTGAAGGGGGACTATTGAGCATGGAGGGGACCCATCAGCCCCCCTCTTACCAGGAGGACCTGACCTTGGGGAGAAGCCCTACAGGAGCTAGGCTGCCAGGGCCCATTCCCTAGGCCCCCAGGCCTTAGGCTGCAGAAATGTCTTCCAGCATTGTGTTGCTATGGAAACATGTTTTCCCTGGCTGATGGGTTTGCACATTTTTGAGGGTCTCCCAGTCATAAGCAGTCACGATTAGAGTTGTCTAATTGTTTCAAGGTCAAGGACCATGTCAGGGACCACACTGTGTGCAAGTGGCATACACAAGTCAGGCCTCTGGGTGGAGAGGGACAGCCCTGGGTCTTTGAAAGGACCTCCCCCTCTCTGCTGCTTAATCACCACAATCATGATGCCCATTATTGTTCTTCATGCCCTATGCAAAGCTCTAAGTGTTCTGGATCCTGGGGTGTCACCATGGCCCCAGACCTATAACCAATTCAAGTTATCCCCTGCTGTGGCCATGGGAGATACCAGTGGGATGAGAAGGAAGACCATAATGCCTGGCATCTCACAGCCAAATGCACAGAACCCTGTGCGCCACCAAATGGGGCAGAGGCCTGGACGTGGGTCTGGAGTGTGGCAGTTACCCACACTGCTCCAGGATTTGGGGGCTACCTTGTGATCCACCCAGCTCCCTACCCCAGTGGATCTAGGCAGAGGCAGAGACTCAGGTATCAGAAAGGGAGAGAAGACAGGGATTTGTTAGATTCATCCCCATCCTCCTGGATCCTCAGATCTCCTGATTTGATGATCTGACCATTCTGATTATGAGATGTTATCCTCCAAGCTCAGGGTCACCAGTTGAGTTTAAGAACTATTTCTCTTCTCTATTTCTTTTTTTCTATCATTAAAACATTTTTTTTGCCCACTTATAAAGGTAATACATATAATTCTAAAAGTTTAGAAATATATAAAAAAAATTATAAACCACCTGATTTCTTGCTAACCACAAATTATTTTGTTGTATTTCCTTCTAGAAATATATTCTTGTTTTTATAAAAATAAGACCATACTATCCACACTACTTTATAATCTATTTTTCTTTTAACTTAATGACATTTTCCATGACATCAAATCACTTTTCATGGCTGCCCAATCATTCATCAAATGGATGCATTGTTATTTACTTATCCAGTCCCTCCTTATTGAGCATTCCTTCTCTGAATCACTTCTCCTTTTCCTGCTCTTCTTCCTCATCCTCTTCAGCCCAAATTGCCTTTAGAAGCACTGAGGCGATGAGTGTTGAAAAGAAACTGATGCCCATAGCCCAGAGGTTGAAAAGGAGAAAGATGTGGAGGTTTTAGTCACCAAAGAGGTACGGCAGGGGCTTCCCTGGTGGCGCAGTGGTTGAGAGTCCGCCTGCCAGTGCGGGGGACGCGGGTTCGTGCCCCGGTCCGGGAGGATCCCACGTGCCGCGGAGCGGCTGGGCTCGTGAGCCATGGCCGCTGGGGCTGCGCGTCCGGAGCCTGTGCTCTGCAGCGGGAGAGGCCACAGCGGTGAGAGGCCCGCGTACCACACACACAAAAAAAGAGGTACGGCAGGGAGTAAGACAGAGGTAACAGGATAGACTCTATAGTGTAAGACCCATTTCATCTTTGAGAAGGAGGAGCCTCTGACTTTAAGTGATGTGTGGATCTCTGGAGGGGGTGATGGACCAAACTTACTCCAAAGTTCATACGTAGAGTTTAGGGGATGGAGCTGGAATTACTTATTTCCCAACACGATAATTTTCCTGTGAGTGTCCTCACTCAAGAAGGGCTTCATGAGGTTGTATCCCACAGGGAACAGTTTGGTGGCTGGAGAGATATAAGCAAGTATAATGGGGAAAAGATAATTCCACCGGGCCACTCTCTCCATAACAGTCATAGCCAACAATGTGGAGGAATAATGAGTTACCTTGGCAAGTTCCAATGCCCTGCACCTGACAAACCATCCAACCAATCGGTCAACTAAAACAACAAGCAGCCAACTAACCAACCACCCAATCAATCATCCAATGTATCAAACAGCCAGCAAACCAGCCAAAAAATAGCCAATCAATTCACCTTCTCACCTACCCATCAATCAGCCTACCGATCAAACAGCCAACCTACCAAATAGTCAAACCACCAAGCAACATGCCAGCCAATCAGTAAACCAATCAGCTAACTAAACCACCAGCTAACTGCCCAACCAACCGCCTCTTCCAGTCAGTCAACCATTCAAACCAGCAATCAACCATCCAAGATACAGCCAAGCAACAAATCAGCCAACCAACTAACCCATCTGCCAACTAGCCACTCACCCACATAGGCAATCAAAATGCTAACTAGTCACTCAGTCTACCAAGCTAACAACTATCCAACCAGACAACCAGATATCCAACTAACCACCAGTCAACCAGCCAGCTAAACAACTGGCCAGTCAAACAGACAAAAACTAAGCAATGAATCAACCAGTCACCCATCAAACGTATATCCATCTTTCTATCCACCCACCCACCCAAACAACCACCACCCAAATACCTATTGAGTTTCCACCTGGCCCCAGGCCTGTGAGGGATACAACAGAAGTGGAGAATCAGAGGCCCTGCCTTCAAGGAGCAGACAACCCAAGGAAAACAGGATGAATACACACAAGACAACTGGAGGCCCCAGAAAGCAGTTGACAGGAAAGGCCAGACTGGGCTGCACCAGCTGCCAGTGCCAGAGGCAGTTTGAGGAGGGAGAGATCAACATGGGTGGGAAAGGTGAGGGGGGATTCCTGGAAGAACTGAGGTGGGAGCTGCCTCTTCTTGCAGTAAAGCCAACCACAGAAGTTACCATTTATGGAGAAGTTACTCTGTTTCAGGCACTCTGATTTGCATGCAGCCAAACAACCAACCTGCCTGACTGCTATCCAGGGAAAAAGGCACTAGTATTGTCCCCAGGGTGCAGATAAGGAATTGGAGGCACAGGGGAGTGAAGTCACCTGCCACACACCTTTCACAATGAGCATGAACTTCAGGGTCTCTGGGTAATTCTCTTCAAGGAGGCCAAAGAACTGTGGGACCAAGAAAGACCCCATGAGAACCCACACCTTTTCTTCTCCTACCCCCATTCCCTTTGCAACCTCCCCTCTGGAGGATTCAGAGGGCTGTGGAGGGTTTCCCTTCTTTTCATCACCTCCATGGCCCCTGGAAGAAATCTCACCCCAGACTATTGCAACCATAACCTAATAGTAATTACATAACAATAATCATTTTTACAGCAAATGTTATAACAACAGTAGTATATAATAATAATTTATGTAATAGTAAATAAAACGTTTACTGTTTATTAAACGCTATTTGCCAAGCACTTGTGTATATACTTTACATAACAACTCACTGAAATATCCCTACATCCCTTTGAAGTGCAATCAGTATCCCCATTTTGTAAGTGAGGAAAATAAAGCATGGAGGGATAAAGCGACTCGCCTGAGTCACAGAGCTAGGGCTGACAGGGCTGGGCGGGGTTTGTCTGAAGCTGGCCCCTATGGACTCAGTACAGTGTTGTCCCTGAGGCCTGTTCTGTGGGATCTTCCAGCCAACATATCTTTGGGTCCTGAGCTGCAGTGATGGGGCCCAGGAAGGCCACCGCCTTTTACCAGATCCTGGCTCTGAGTTAGCAGCAAGGTCACAGCAGGCCAAGCTGGTCGTTAAAGCAAGCAGGGGTGCCCAGGGGCCTTTCCCCACCTCCTGGTACACTTCCACCAGGGGTTTCCAGAAGTGCTTCAGCCCCAGGCCTTCACAGTCAAATATCATCACGATGGTCTCAATCTTCCTCCCCAGCTGTGAGGATGAGAGCAAGGATCAAGGTGCAGGCTCAGAACTTGGGAGATGGTGACCCCAGCACATGACCCTTCAGGGCTTCTCCCATATTCCTACTTTGCCCTCAGATGAATGAGTGGACAAAACAGTGAATGCATTTACTACCCATCCATCCACCATCCACCCATCATGTCTATCCATCCACCCATTAATTGACTCACCCACTCATCAGTTCACCCATCCATCCCTTCATACTGCTGTTTATTCAGCCATTCATTCCTCCATTTGTCCAACTAATATTTATTAAGCACCTATTTTGAGCCAGACACTATAAGTATAGCATGTAGCTCAATAATCCAGAGTTCTTGTCCTTAAAGAGTTCACAGGTTGGTTGGGGAGATTGACAAGCAACCAGATCCCCATGGTCCTCAAGTGAGAGCTGGACAACATGGGAGCTGTGGGAACACACGTTAACCCAGATGGGGGCCTCAGAGAAAGTGACAGTTTGAGACCTGATAGATAGGAGAGAGCCAAGGGAAGTGTGGGAGGGAAGTGTGTGTGCTGGAGGTCGGGCTATCCAGACAGAGGAACAACAGGGGCAAAGACTCCGAGGGAATAACAGAAGCTAATAGCATTCTGAGAAATACGAATCAGGCCAGCCATATACTTGCATTATCTAATTTAATCTTTGCAACCATTATTATTGTCCCTGTTCTATAGGTGAGGAAACAGGCTCAGGGAGGTGAGGTAACTTTCCAAGGTGGCAAAGTTACCACCACCAAAGTTATCACTTTCCAAGGTGGAAAACCAGTACACCCACCTGGGAAGCGTCAGAGCTGGTGTCTGACCACAGAGCCCTCTGGCTGTGACGGCAGAGAGCACAGGTGTGTTCCTGGGACCAAGTCCCCTGGCAGCCTCACCCGCTCTGTCTGCAGGTCACACTTGTGCAGGATGCGCTCACAGTCCCTCATCTTGGTCTGGAGCAGGTCCTGCTTGGTGACAGAGAAAAGCAGGCCCTTGGGGTCAAGCGGCCCGATGATGTCATACCACACAGGGCAGCCGTCATGGTCACAGCCACACAGGGCCCCAGGCGTGTACTTCTGGATCACCTGGGCATGGACAAACACACGAAACTTGGCATCATGCACCTCCCAGAGATAACCAGACCAGGCTGCCGTGGGTGGCCTGAGCCAACACACACTGTGGTACAAGCACTGTCCCTCTAATGGAGGGCGGCTCTACTGTCCAGGTAAGAAAACTGAGGGGTTTGCAGGAGGAGGTCTTGCTCACAGCAGGTACATGGCCAAGGCAGGTCTCAGCCACGCCTGCTTGAGGCCTCTGGGCTCCTTAGTTCTGCCCCCAATGTCTCCCGCGTCCCTTTCCATGGAAAGGAGTTGGGCTTAGTGATGAAGAACATGGATTCTGAAGGTCACAGACCTGGTTCAAAAACAGATGCTACTGCTTCCCTCCTGTGCATCCTTGAGCAAGTGATGCCACCTATCTGAGCACCATTCCCTCTCCTCTGTTGGGGAAAGTCCCCAAGATCACAAAGTGCCTGACTCAGAGCTTGTGCTCCACGAGTGAAACTAGGACCACTGCTTTACTAAGACGCCGGTGGTGGGACTCTTCTCCCCAACTTCTTGGTGAGCTAAGTTTCTTTCCCACCTAGACAGGATGCTTTGACCAAGGCCCTAGGGGTGAGGGCTCAGAGCCACGAGCTAACTCTGGTGGTGAAGAGCCTGGATTTGGAGGACAGACAAGCTTGAGCTCAAATCCCAGCTCCACCTTGGGGCTGTGGGACTTTGGGTGGGCTGCTTAATCATTGCTGGGCTTCAGTGCCCTCATGTGTACAATGGGGACAACAGTACCCACTTCATGGGGTTGTGAGGATTAAATGAGATCATGCAGATAAAGTCTTAACTTACGCTTGGACCTCATAAGCCCCCAGGAAATAGTCATAATTGTTATAGGAGAGGTGCCTGCACACTCATGGTCTTTGCTACCCTCCACTCATGGTCCCGATGATCCAGAGACTGCTCGGGTGGTAAGTCTCTAAGAGACTGGGAGCTGTGTGGGTGTTGGCTCACCTCGGGGGGCTGCCAGTCAGTATGTGGTCAATGTCCATGGTCTTCCGGAACTCCATGTACTGAAAGGGAGTTGAGTGGTAAGGTCTCACTGGGCTCCCAGCACCCCTGAGGAGGGGATGGAGGTAGGGGCTGGAGGCAGGGATTGCCCCCACAAAGCCCCTCACCAAATTTCCAGGGAGGGGGATGGGTCTCACCTTGTGGAACATGGCCTCTGATTTCTGCAGGTCGAAATTCTGAGCTGTGAGAAGATGGAAAGAAGGCATGGGGTGGGAAAGAGGTTGCCTTGCAGTCATCTTGCCCTGGTCCTGGGCAGTGGGGGGCTATGGAGGGCACTGGGGGTTAGGGTGGGACCTCCCTTTCCTGTCCCCTCCCCTCTCCTGCACCTGAACATGTGAAGCAAGGTGGTATGGTCGGATCCTGAGAGCCTTGGGTCCTTCTGGAGCAGCTGGGACAAGGGCCCTCTCACTTCCCCCTCACCGTGACCTCCCCCACCTCTGCCCTCACCTCAGAGCCAGCGCAGAAGGAAATAGTCATCTGGGTTGGGCAGGGCAGGCAACACATCCTGGACATTTTCTCGGAACTGGGAAGAGAGACGTTGATTGAAGAGGTTTTCACACTGAGCCTTTGCCCCAGACTCAGTGATTGTTTTCGTCTTGCCTCCTTCTCTTCCAGTGCAGTCTGGCCCACAGTGATGGAGGATGGGTGGGTGGATGGATGGGTAGGTGAATGGGAGGAAGGATACATGCGTGAGTAAACAGAAAGAAGAAAGAATGGATGGATGGATGGGAAAAAAGGAAGGACAAATCAATGAATAGTGGATGGATAGAAGGAGAGATGGGTGTGTGAGTAGACAGACGGGTGGGTGGGAGTAGAAGGATGGATGGAAGAAAAGATAAATGGGTGGATGGGTGGGTAAGTAGATTGGAGTATGAATGTATTCTTAGTTCTTTTCATGTGTTAGTCCACCAAGGCTTCTGTCTTTTTTTCCATCCCATTTTCTACAAAAACATTGTTAGTGATTATGCGTCCTCTTCCCCATTGACCGTGGTGATGACAACACACTCTGCTCCATCTCTCAGCTCTTACAGACAGGTCATCTGTCAGGGTCCTGGGGAGTGAAAGGGAACAGAGTCAGAGGGCAGACCATCTTCAGCTCCCACCTAAGGGGAGGTGGGGAGGGGCATGTCAGGTAAAGGTCTCTGGGTCTGGCCCCTGGATGAGAAGTCAGGCTTCATCTGGCACCCACACTATTGCCAGGAAGTGGTGCTGTTCCCTCAGTCTCTGCCCTGGACAGGGCTGATGTCACCAGGCACTGGGAAACCTGACCCTGGGTGAGGTGATGACAAAGAGACAATGTCAAGGACATGCTGAATCAACAGAGTGGGGCAGTGTTCCGGCCACCACCCTCCCTCCTCCTCTCAGCCCTTTTCCCCTGGCTCTCACCTTGGCCAGGGTCTCTGCCTGCTTGGGGCTCAGGTCTCCGACTCGGCCACTCATGGTGCTGGGTGAGGCTGGAGGAGTGGAGGCCACTGCAGGCAGAGGCCAAGTCTGGTCTGTGGTCCTGACCAAGCGGAGCCTTTTGCCCCCACTCCTGGGCGTGGCTCCAGGCGCCTCCTTCTTGGCCAGCTGTTGGGTTGCACATTACATAATTGGGATTAAGTGAGGTCCCGTGCTTGGCTGTGGGATAGTTTGGGGTGGGGGAGGCAGGTGTACACGGGAGGGCGTGTCAGAGGTCCACTGCCAGGTGGAAGAGGCTGGGAGGAAATGAGGCTGGCTTCCCATGGCATGGGAGTCCAGGCTAGGTACCTGTAGAACCCCCCTCAGTGCTCCCCAGGCCTCCAGGGAAGGCGGGATTTCAGGGGGAGTGAGGACTGCTCCCTGCAGGCACCCCTTCTCTCCGACCCTCAGTCTCCCCATCTCACTAAGGAAGAGATCCCGCACCTACGGTTCTGCAAACGTCACCCTCACCCAGCTGTGATGGCTAGGAGTCAGGGACTTAGTCTAGTAAACAGTTCATTCACTTTGTCGGGGTGGGAGGCTCATGTCTTTTTGCAACAAATGTCCATATTCAAGAGGAGACAGGCTGGGGCAGAAAAACGGAACTCGAAAGGTGTCCTTGCTAAAGGTTTTTTTTCCCCACAGGGCTGATGCTGCTTTTCCTGACTTTCAAATTCTATCCTGTGGTGCTGGTCCCTCACCTTCAATACGGGGAAGGGTTGAGTTCCCCCAACCCTGCTGCCCTCCCTTCTCATCGCAGAGGTCATGGGGACACAAGGGTCCTTGTCCAGGACCTCGCATCCCCTGGGTCCTAAGGGAGAAGTGGGGCATGTTGATGCCCTTGGGGCGGTAAGGGTGCTTCTTGGGATTTTAAACATCTGATCAGTGAGGGGCGTCCACCACTTGTGCCAGGTGATGAGGGAAGCCCAGAAGGTTTCCCTGTCCTTTGAGATATAGACTGTCAAGGGTCATGCATGTCTAAGGGATTCTCCATCTGTGAGAAGCTCCGAGAGGGCAGAGGCCACATTGTCAATGACTGTCTATAAGGAAACCAGGAGTGCATCTGCTTGGGACCACAGTACAGCCACATGGCCGCATCTTCCAGGCCTTGAGGGGGTCCACATGGGCTGAAAGTTTCCCCTGGTCTAGCCTCGGACCCAACAGCTGGGCTAACTCAAGCCCCTCTTCCCAGTGCTGTTCCAGGTCCCCTACCCCCAGGGCATTCCTGGTCCTCACCCCTGGGCTGTCTTGGGACCTCTTTACGCTGATGTGGGTTAGCACTGACACCTCCTTGCTCTAGGCCCTGATAGAATTGGGTCCAGAAGGAGAAGGGGGGCTGTCTTTGGCGATCTCCCTCCATCCAGGGTGCCTGCCACGTGCACTCAGGAGCAGTTAGGTACCTCTCCACACCCCGGTCCCGCCCCACTTCACATTCCAGCCTCTTTCTGCAAAGCCCGCAGCTGCCACCTACACCCACTTCCTGCCAGATGGGCAGCATGCAGAGATTGGGCTCCTCCACTGCCCTCTCATTAGCCCCTAATCCTGCCTGTTTTTCACCAGTCACCTTTCTCGCCCTAATCCCTCTAACGTGAGGGGCCCCAGTTACCTCTGGGGATATCAGAGGCTGGGCAGGCAGGGCCAGGAATAGGAGTTGAGGTCCTCCCAGGAGTTCTGAGCCTTCAGAGATACCCCTAAGTGCTTCTCCTGACCCAGACCACAAACAGACACAGAGCACATACTGTGTGCCCACAGCATGATTATCGTTATCTTCATTATCACCATCATCATCAATAGTGCTATCTAATGGAACTTTCATTTATTTATTTATTTATTTATTTTTGGCTGCATTGGGTCTTCATTGCTGCGCAGGGGCTTTCTCTAGTTGTGGTGAGCAGGGGATACTCTGTTACGGTGCGTGGGCTTCTCATTGCGGTGGCTTCTCTTGTGGAGCACAGGCTCTAGGCACGCAGGCTTCAGTAGTTGTGGCATGCGGGCTCTAGAGCATAGGCTCAGTAGTTGTAGTGCATGGGCTTAGTTGCTCCGCGGCATGTGGGATCTTCCCAGACCAGGGCTCGAACCCATGTCCCCTGAATTGGCAGGTGAATTCTTAACCACTGCACCACCAGGGAAGCCCCTTTAATGGAACTTTCTGCAGTGATGGAAATGTTCTGTATCTGGGCTGTGTCCTATTGGACGTCACTGGTAGCCAGTTGTCACATGTGAAATGTGGTTAGTGAGGCTGAGGAACTCAAGTTTTAAATAAATTAAATTTTGATTAATTTTATAATAGATTGCCCCATGTGGCTTGTGGCTACCATATTAGCACAGATCTGCATTTATTGAAGGCTTACTACATGCCAGGCCCCACTCTAAGGGCATCACCTTGTGGGACTTCCCTGGTGGTTCAATGCTTAAGACTCCCCACTCCCAATGCAGGGGGCACGGGTTTGATCCCTGGTTGGGGAACTAAGATCCTGCATGCCACACAGCATAGCCAAAAAGAAAAGAAAAGAAAAGAAAACAATGGGATTTCCCTGGTGGTCCAGTGGTTAAGACTCTGCACTTCCACTGCAGGGGATGCAGGTTCAATCCCTAGTTGGGGAACTAAGATCCCACATGCCTCATGGTGAGGTCAAAAAAAAACAAAGCATCACCTCATTTAAACCTCAGAGCCCCCCTGGGATTAGCTAACCATTATTAAGCCCATTTTACAGACAAGCAAACTGAGGTAGAGAGAAGTTAAGTATCTTATCCAGAGCTAAGCCCATGCAATTAACCACTCTGCTGTCACACTGGAGGCCATCCCACAGTCTCAGCTCTGGGGGCCTCCACCTTAATCAGGGAGAGGACCCAGGCACAGAAGTCACCCCAATGGGATGTAAGTGGCATTGAGCCAGACCTTGAAGAAAAGGAGGATGTCGATTAGTGGAGATTGAGGAAAAGGCATCCCAAGTGGAGGGGGCGGCATGGGCCAAGGTGTGGAGGTGGGCAAGTGAAAAGCACAAGGAGGGCAGAGCTGAGGATGTTACAGTAAACAAGATGGATTGGGTCCCTGCCTGCACGGAACTCACAGTCTCCCATTTGTTGAGCATTTCCTCTGTGCTGAGAACATTACATTGGTATCAAACCATTTGGAAACAGGTAGGGGTATCTCCATTTTACAGTCAAAGATATGAAAGGTCAGAGAGATAAAGAAACTTTTCTGAAGTCACACAGCCAGGAAATGGGAAGCCAGGATTTGAACCCAAGCCTGTCTGACTCTGGAACCTGTAGTGGAGCCACTGCCCAGATGTGACTTCCCCCGGCGGGCTTAACACTGTGCCTAGAAGACTGTAAGTGCTCGATAAAAGGTCTAAGATCCATTGTGTGTTAGGAAGCCTGGATCCACCCACCTCGGACTGCAGGGTATTTTGAGGCCAGGAGAATTATTTCCCTCCCTTGAAACAAAGGCCTCAGCAGAGGAGAACCACCCCCATCCCCACCCACCATTTCGGTCTTCTCCAAGTCCTAGTTTGTCAGGCTCTCAGGGGACCATGGCTACAACCAGGACACCAGCAAACAACCTCAGGGGGATAGACGGGGCCACCCAGTCCACACCCAGGAACACCTCCTTTCTGGGGGTTGGTTACTAGGAAATGTGAAATGCCGTCCTAACAGAACCAGCTGGGTGAGTACAGAGGGGGCCCCGGGGATGAGGGAGCCTCACCATGGGGCAAACGTGGCTGGGACGAGGCAAGTGGGAGTGGGGTTCAGGGCACAGTGAGATGAGGTGGGGTGGCCGACAGGAGAGGGGAATTGCGGGGATGGGAGGCGGGGAGGGGCGCCTTGTCGGAGGCCCAGTGATGATCTCAGCTGCGCCCTGGGACCGTCTGCCTTCCCTCTTTTACCCTTGGGCAGTTTCATCTCCTTTTTAAATTAAAATATGGTATAATTCACATATCGTAAGTTCACCATTCTTAAAGTGTACAATTCAGTGATTTTTAGTATATTTACAAAGTTGTGCAACCAACTCCACTGCTTAACTGCAGGACATTTTCATTACCCCCCGAAAACCGCTGTACCCTTTAGCAGTCATTCCCCATTTCCTGCACCCCTGCTCTTGCCTCTGGCAACTACTAAGCTATTTTCCATCTCTATAGATTTTCTTATTCTGGATATTTCATAGAAAGCGAATCACATGCGGTATGTGATCTTTTGTGACTGGCTTCTTTAACTTAGCATAATGTATACAAGGTTCATCCATGTTGTAGCAGGTACCAGTATGTCATTCCTTTTTATGGCTGAATAATATTCTTTTGCATAAATATACCACATTTTGTTTACCCATTCATCAGTGGATGGACATTTGGGTTATTTACACTTTTTTGGCTATTATGAATAATGCTGCTATGAAAAGTTTTTGTACAAGTTTTTTGCGGTACGCGGGCCTCTCACTGTTGTGGCCCCTCCCATTGCAGAGCACAGGCTCCGGACGTGCAGGCTCAGCAGCCATGGCTCACAGGCCCAGCCGCTCTGCCGCATGTGGGATCTTCCCGGACCGGGACACGAACCCGTGTCCCCTGCATCGGCAGGCGGACTCTCAACCACTGCGCCACCAGGGAAGCCCTGTACAAGTTTTTGTAAAAACATGTTTTCACTTCTCTTGGGTGTATCTTTAGGAGTGGAATTACTGGCTCATATAGTAATTCTATGTTCAACCTTTTGAGAAACTGGCAAACTGTCTTCCAAAGTGGCTGCATCATTTTATATACTCCCTAACAATGTGTGAGGGCTCCTTTTCTGTTTTCTTATTTTGCTATTATAGCCATCCTAGTGGGTGTCACGTGGTATCTCATTGTGGTTTTGAACTGCATTTCTCTAATGACTAAAGCTCTTGAGCATCTCTTCATGAGCTTATTGGCCATCTGTATATCTTCTGGGAGAAACATCTATTCAAAATTTTAAAATGTCTTTACCTAATTTTAAATTGGGTTGTCTTTTTATTGTTGACATGTAAGAATTCTCTATAT